ATCTTATCTTATCTTATCTTTTTTATTGGGGGGGGGGGGGGGTAAACGAACAATTTTATCTCCATTTTAAATCACAAATTGTGCCAATGACTCCATGCGCCCAAAAATTGCCGAGCGCCTGATCCACATTGTGCCAAGACCCCTAGCAATATGTGGCTGTGTGTTCGTGTACTTGAGGCTGTCAGCTGGAACCAACTAGAATCAACATGATATGGTCATCTGCTATTCATTAAAAACTTTCCAAATTTTAATGAATCGATCGTAAAAGTGACCATAGAATGTCTAGAAAGGGTGTGAGTCGGGGGAGGGAGGGGTTGTTTCGGCTCAGAATGCCGTATATATCGATAGCAAGACATGTTGGCTCTCTTTCCAGATTTTAATCTGCAAGAAAATAACACAACATTGCCAAGAAAGACGAGAAGTTCTTTGTGTTCAGCTCAACTTCCGACCCTCGACGCGTCACTCACGTTCGTAAACATGCATTCCTCGCCAGGGTAGAAAAAGTAAAGTTGTTCCCGCATCCGATCCGGACATCGGGGATTGCCTTGTCAGTGAGACAACTTCCTGTCCTGGGTCTTCGGCATATTGTGGTAGGATAGTCGCCAGGGTAGTCAATTCGATGACGTCACGCTAAGATGATATCTTATGATGAGGTCTGGACTCCTGAAACGCCGCGTAACCTCTGCGAAGAATCTATTTATAGGGGTCGTAGTATTCCCTGCTGTGAGTGTGCCATACGCCCTGGGTGTAGTCTATTCCTTCTCCTTTATCCTGTCCTCTTTCATCTTCGCCCCCGTCTCCCGCCAGAGTCCTCTTACTTGAGGGAGAGCCCGGGCCACTGGGGTTCGAGCCCCCCATCATCAACGTCAGGGCGGATTCGTCATAGTCTGTGTCTCTGGAGGAGGAAGACAGCGTGGAGTCTGTCCCACGGAGCAGTTTCTGCAGCCCGTCCGCTTTCACAGCCAGACTTCTCCTGCCTCCGTGGGCCTCGTGGTCTTCCGTGACGTCATTCTCCTCACGCAGGAGCCCGTAGTCCATATCTTCCGGTCGGTTCGTGGCCCCTCCCCTCTCATCCTCATCCTCCCCCTCTTCTTCCCCCAACTCTTCCTCTTCTTGTCCCCCTATTCCGCTCTCCCCTTGAGAAGCCGTAGGTTTGGAGTCGCGACTTTGTTTCCTATGGGGGGGGGGGAGATAGAGA